GGTCAAGCAATTCCAGGGCCTCCAGCTCGGCGTCCAGGAGCCCCAGCTGGCGGTACAAGAGGGACGCTTGGTGCAAGGCAGGGAGGAAGGTGAAATCCACCTGGAGGGCTTGTCTGAGGTGCTGCAGGGCCACCTGTGGCTTCCCCTGGAGAAAAGAAAATCCAGAGGCTCAACACGAAGCAGCTCTCCTGAGAGAAAGCAGGGTTACCATGGAAAGAGGCCTCTCTGGGACCCACCCCACTGAATTTAGTCCTACCTAGAGAGAGGCCCAAGAATTTTCTTCTACTTCCCATCAACATAATACAACTGTTTAGCGACCCATGGCAATCTGATTTTTCACAAGAGTTTTATTGTTGCTTATTAATGAACTCCCAGCATGCATGATATTTCTTCACAGATTAACGTTCTGACAGCCTAGCGAAATAATGTTGCAGGCAGGTATTTCCTAAGGAGAGAGATGTGCTGGGCTTCTTAAAACCACATGGAAGGCAGAGGCAAAGGGGAAGATCCTGATGCTGCTGTCACCTCCTAACCACCTTGGGCTCAAACACAACCCAGTGTGCCCCTAACACCCCCCCCCTTACCAGTTTTAGGCTGTAGCGTCCCATTAAGGTGAAGATCTGGGCAAGGAGTCGCCTGGAACACAGCCCAGTCGTAGCAGCTTGGAGGAGAGCAAGATCAGCCGGGGCATCGTCAGCTTCCAGTTCCTGAACACCTGAAACATGGGGGAGGTCTCTCACTTGCCCTTCTCACTCCCACCCGGCAGGGCAGGGCATAAAGCGGGGCTGGCCTGGTAGGGCCTGGTCTTTGAATCCCCCTTTGCTAACGTTTGAAACAAGGCCCTTCTGGGGATGGGGGCTACACGGGTCCCCCTGAGTCCCAGCCATCACCCTCTTGCCACTTGCTACAGCAGACGTGAAAATGGTGGGCAGCTTTTCCAACTTTAAATCCAGGCCTGTCCTCCTAGCATGCCTTGTTCTCAATGGTAGTGGGCTGTGCTATGTTTTAAACGTTGTCCTATCAGCCCAGCAGCGCCAATGGCAGTATGGAATGCCTTCTCGTGACCAAACACCCTTCTCTTGAAGATGCCAAAGCAGCAGCAGGCGCCTCCTGCCTAGCACGTGGCCTCCGTATGAAGCAGACAACAATTTCTGCATCTTGTGTTTCACATTAAAAACATCTCTTTAAACTTTGTTTTAACGGTGCTTTTAAATCCGCTAAACATTGGGAAAAACTGCACGGCAAAAACCGCTGGACCACAGAAGCCGCGAGTTGGCCAGGGAGCTCTCGCTATTGTCCAGCCAGAACCTTTGAGGCAGGGTTAAAGTTGATCTAGGATCCAGGCGATCAACCAGGAACACAGAAGTCCTCTTGAGGGATGACAAAGCACCTGCCCTGCCATAAATCTCCCTTTGCCTTTTGCCCCCCCTTCTGGGCACCTCTGAAATCTGTGGACGCTTTAACAGCAGGAAATCAGTTCTGGTCAGGCAGCTGTTACAAAGCAGGAGGCGGGCGATGGAGATGCAGGGAGAAAGGAACAAAGTCCAGCCTACCTTGCAGAAGAGCCGCCAATGTCCACAGAAGACTTTTCAAGTCTCTGACACTTTGCACTGTAAGGGGAGCAGATGGCCCCTCGTCAGGCGGATGCCATACCTGGAGCAGTGAAAGGAGCCGATTCTGGCAACCACGGGAAAGAGAAGGCCCTGGACTCTGGGAAGGGAGCAACAAGTGGTTCTCAGATGTTTGAAAGCTGAACCCAGTTTTGGTGCCACCCTGGGTGACTTTGGGTGGTTAAGGCTAGAGAAGGCCAGAGGAAAGTGAGAGGGAGGTGCCCACCTCAGATGACCCTCTGGTCAACTGCAAAGTTCTCAGAACTGCCCAAGCACTGGGGGCAAAACTGTACCCACCCTGCCACCTCTTCTCTACTCCTTGGTGGTTCCTATTCATGGCCTGCAGCCCTCCCATGACTTTCTAATGTGGGCTGCGAATGCCAAGACTAGCTTTTCCAGGGATCCTCACAGATGCAGCTCCCCCCTCCCAACAGCCCAGCTTAACCTTGGTCTGGAACACCCGATGGCTGAGCGAGGCCAAGAGCCCACCGCAGCCTCACCAACCCCCTAGCCCACCCACCAGAAGAAAGCTGGAGGGTTCCACGAGAACCAGGGAGCCAACGCTTGTGCTCCCTACAGGCTGCTCTGCCTCCACCAGGGTGCTGGGAAGCTGCTGCTGCCATCTTACCATGCCGGCACTCAGCAGCTGGAAGAGGTCTTCTGCCTTCTCCAGGTGTTTTGCTGCCAGCCAAAGTGCCCCCTGCAGGGCAGCCAGTTGGTGTAGAGAACTCCTAAGCCCATCAGGGAACCTCTCCTCTAATACTCTGTGCCAACGATCTTCCAAGGAGAGTTGCAGGTCAGACGCACCGCAAGCCTCCAGAACTAGCAGAGACAAACACAAAAACCTTGCTTGTGCCAGGTCTCTCTTCAATGGGTAAGGTAGGTGGGCACCTCGCCCTATTTAGCTCCACATCCTACAACTTGCATGTGCCTTCTTTACAGTGAGAGAAAGACTTGAGACCCTAAAGAGGAGGGACCCTCCAAGGCCACATCCCACTTCCGCTGAAAGCAGCACAGGGTGGTCATCACCCCTTTTCCCCTGAAGCCTCAATTCTACAGTCATGAAAGCCAACCTTTAGGTACCCCCAGATGCTTCTCTTCAGGAAATCAACCCTGAGTGCTCACTGGAAGGACAGATCCTAAAGCTGAGGCTCCAGTCCTTTGGCTGTCTCATGGGAAGAGAAGACTCCCTGGAAAAGAGCTTGATGTTGGGAAAGTGTGAAGGCAAGAGGAGGAAGGGGTTTTGACAGAGGACGAGATGGCTGGACAGGGTCATTGAAGCGACCAACATGAATTTGGCCCAGCTCCGGGAGGCAGGGGAAGACAGGAGGGCCTGGCGTGCTCTCTGGTCCATGGGGTCACGAACAGTCGGACACGACTTAATGACTAAACAACAACAAAGATGCTTCTCTTACCCCTGCGGAGCCCACAGTCTATTCCTGCCAACAGCTTCTCCCCAGAATGGCTGGACTGCTGGATGTCAAACAGTAAGGTGTTGTAGAGGACGGTCAGCTCCAAGGTCAGTGCTGGAAGGGCCGCCGGAAGCCCTGCAATGAACGGGGAACAGACCACACCTCAGGGCAAGTGAAACAAGGGGCCCCTCCATCCCCACAAATCGTTCTTCTTCACCCCATGTCAGAGTTCACAGGGGAAATGACCCACAAGCGGCTTGCCAGATAACAGTCTCAAAATCAGGAGGATGTTGCCTGGGGGAGAGAGGGTGGGGGCAAACCAGGCAATTGTTACTGGCCCCAGAAGCTGCACTGGGAAAAAGGAAAGGTGATAAGACAGCAATCATTAAGAATCTTCAGGTGAACATATACACATAAAAGCAACAATAGTTTACTCCGGAGAAAACACACACTTGCCGTGCTGCCGTCATGCATACATACAGTCCTCTTGAAGCCTAACCATATGCACAACACACCCTGCCAGTCTGATGCTGGACTTGACTTTTCTGGATATGTGGAAGATCACAAGACAACCCCTTGGCGGAGAGCAACTTTCCAGCCTGAAAGAATCAGGAGGTTGTTTACAGCTTCTCTTGCCAGAGGCAACCCATCCACCAGAAAGGTGGGGAGGGAAAGGGCCAAACCAGCCAGGAAACCAGCAAGCAGTTCAAAGGCAGGTCACAGCGTCCTTTGACAGGACAAGAAAGGCTGTCTTAACTGCCTATGGGCCAGCAAGCCTTTCCACCTTGCTCTCTCTCTCTCTCTACATGCTGCTTTTCATAGTAAGACTGTCTGGACCTCCTGGGTGGGAGACCCGTTGCTCTGAGGTATCCATGGCCCTGGGGCTGGATCCCATTCACTGGGGCACCTGTTGGGTCCTGCGAGAATGCCCAGCGTATTGCCTCTTAAAACAGTTCAGCCAGAACATGTTGCCCTGGGGGTGCAGAAGATAAGATTAATTACTCCTTGCACCTCAAAGCAGGACAGAAACTCCTGATGCATAGTGGTGTCCATCACAAACTCTGATCTTGGTTCCCCTTCTAGGGCGTCACCTCTGCTCTGGAGGCACTTTGTGGCTTTGGGCAGCTCACTCTCCAAGATTCTCTTCACCACTTGCCACAAGGGGGACACAAATAGGTAGCAAGATTACTCTATACAGAGTAGTGGAAGCTTTGCAATACATTGACAGAAAATTTCTCAAATCAAATTAGAAATTTAAGACTAGAGATTTAAGTCTTCTAAAAATCTGAACCTGAGACTACTTTATAGAAACTCTATAAGGCTGGTATTTAGTTGGGCCAGTTTGGTAAAAGCGGCAGAACCAAACAACAGACAGCTAGAACATTTTCAGTTGAAGTTTGATCAACTGAGTTGATAAAATTATGCAGGGGATGGACCAAGTGGATAGAGGGAAGCTCTTTTCCCTCTCATGCAATACTAGAACCAGGGGACCTCCACTCCAATGGAGCGTTGGGAGAGTGAGGACAAAATAAAATATTTCTTGACCCAGTGTGTCGTTAGTCTGCGGAACTCCTTGCCACAGGATGTAATGATGGCATCTAGCCTAGATGCTTTGAAAAGGAGATTGGACAGATTTCAGGAGGAAAAGTCCGTTGTTTGTGACAAGCTGACATGGGGATGTACAATCTCCTGGCTTAAAAGGGAAGGTAACTCCAAATGTCAGATGCAGGGAAGTGGTCTCAGGAGACAGGTCTCTCGTGGTCTCGCAGAGGCATCTGGTGGGGCCACGGTGAGAGACAGGGAGTTGGACTAGAGGGGTCCTTGTCCTGATCCAGCAGGACTCTTCTTAGGTTCTTATGAGTGTTTCTCTGTTTTTAAAATGATTTCTATACTGAAAAGGGAAAAAAAATCTCTTGACAATTAATAAATTAAATATTGGTGGGAAGCTTTCCAGGCAGCCATAAGGAACCTATCACCCTAACTGCTCCTAGAGGCTTCTTGGTTGGTCCTAAAATATTACGGAGCTTGCCTCTATGGCCCACCCCACAGGTAACCTTATACTTCAGACTTCTTCCTTACACACGGTCTGTGTCCATTCTAGCAAACATTTTTTAAAAAGAAAAATGCATTAAATGCTGCTTTTCATTTTATTCTCAGAAGAACCCTGTAAAAACGGAGTGGGGTCTGCCCGTAGAACACATCACTCCAGATAAGCACTGAATTTATTTATTTATTTGATTTATACCCCGCCCATCTGGCCTAAAAGGCCACTCTAGGCGGCCTTCCAGCCGAACACTACAGCGGATACAAATATAGCGTCCTATTAAATTATCATCCACAAAGTAAAGGAGAGACAAGTCACTTCAACAGGAACTGTGCCAAACTGAAAGGCCCTGCCGGGGTAATCTTGGGGCCACGTCAGTCTACCTTGGATTTTCTGCAGCAGTTTGGTGAAGGCCAGTTGACATTCTTGGGCTGTTTTCTTCACAGAGCCGTCTAGGCCTGAAGACTTTGCCACCTGCCAAGGAGAAAGCACCAGAGGGAGAGGGAGAGAGGCTGAGTGGGCACCGCTCTGCTTTGGCTGTGCCCAGCGGGGAGAGGCACAGAGGAGGTAAGCCAACATGCAAAGGGAGCAAAAAAGAAAAATGAATCCGGGAGGCCAGTGAAAAGCTGCCAAGGGAGAAGGCAGGGGCCGGGGGGGGGGGGAGGGGGCCGGGAGGGTTTGGGGCTGCCCCCCCCCGGGGCCTCCCCA